TGGGTGAGGTGGATGGTGGAGGGGCTCTGGATGATGCGAGGGAAATAAAAACTTGATCTTGTGGGATGTGTGTGTAGGGAGTGAGGTGCTGGGGGTGGGTGGGGGGTCCATCGGTGGCAGTGCAGGGGGGCTAGATTGTGGAGTGCTGAAGGAGGTGGTTGGCCAGCGCCTGGTGCCCTGACCCCACTGGTCGGTGCATGGCTCTCCTGGGGCCTCGGCCAGGGAGCAGGGCCTCATGCTTATAGGCCCCGCCCCCCGGACCTGCAGGACAGCTTCCCTGGCAGTGGCCAATGTATTGCAACTACTGGTGTGCGTGACCAGCTTGAGCAGGGCAAGGGCCAGGTGGATGTCCATGTGGAGAGGCAGCTGGATACTGGTGCCCTGCCTCTCCAGGTGGGGCCAGAGCTGCTACATGAGGTCCTGGAAGGTGGCCCAGGTCATCCTGAAGGCCTCCAGCCACTGCTTATCTTCCCAGATGTGCTGGATGATGTGCCTGCCTGGCATGGTGGGCCCAGAGGTGGCAGGGCTGGAGGTCCAGGAGGATGACAACAGCCTCAGCATCCATAAGTGGCATCTGGAAGCTGCTCATCAGCATCCCTGCCGGCGGGAGCTGCAGAGCAGCAGCCCTGGGATGGTGTGCTGCAGACAGGCAGGCAGTGCTGCATATATGGGAGTCAGGCAGGCCCAGATGGCCATGGGCCAGGTGGCAAGCAGTGCAGCAGGCCAGCAGTGCCAGCTTGGGTACCAGCAGGAGCCCAGGTGCTGGTCACTGCCAGGGGCAGGGGCTGGAGCAGCCATAGCATGGGGAGGCAGAGTGGGCAAGGAGTGCTGTCATGTGCCGTCCCTGCATTGGGCACGATGCTCCTGGACAGCGAAGTGGCTGGCCGGAAAGCAGCGAGTGGTGCTGCCTTTTAAAGATGGCTGCCCACTGCTGGCTGCTGGCAGCTGCAGCTGTAGCCTGGTGCTCCCCCGGGGGGTAGCAGAGGCCCATTGCACGGCTGCAGGAAATTTGGTGCTAAGAGCAGCAAATCTTCTCCCTCATTGCTGCATGTGTAGACACCTGCCTGGGAGCATTTAATCTGCAGAAGTTTACACCAGAGTAAACTGAGTCCAAATTCAATGCATGTGTAGATATGCCCTGTTTCATCTGGAATAAGGCAAGGATTTTTTGGGGATGATATCTTTTGAGGAGGATAACAAAAGATTGTTTTTCAGCTATATAGGGAGTAAAAGGAAGGCCCAGGGTGGTATAGGACCACTACTGAATGGGCAAAAGAAATTGGTGACGGGCAGGGGGGACAAGGCCAAACTCCTCAATGAGTTCTTTGCCTCAGTCTTCCTAAACGAGGGGCAAAATAAGTCTCACAATGGGATCGTAGAGAGACAACAGCAGGGCGCCAGACTATCAAGCGTTGACCCTGAGATGGTGCACTCACTTGGAAGGACTGGATGCGTTTAAGTAGGCAGGCCTGCATGAGCTCCCTTTGAGGGTACTGAAGGCACTGGCTGATGTCATTGCACAGCCACTGGCAAGAATATTTGAGCACTTGTGGCACACGGGCCAGGTTCTGGAGGACTGGAAAAGGGCCAATGTGGTCCCTATTTTCACGAAAGGGAGGAAGGAGGATCCAGGCAACTACAGGCCAGTCAGTCTCACCTCCATCCTTGGCAAAGTCTTCGAAAAGATTATTAAGGCTCATATATGTGAGAGCCCAGCAGGAAAAATTATGCTGAGGGGAAACCAGCACGGGTTCGTAGCTGCCTGACTAACCTAGTTTCTTTTTATGACCAGGTTACAAAGCACCTGGACGCAGGAGTAGGGGTTGACATTGTTTACTTAGACTTCAGGAAGGCCTTTGATACAGTATCCCACCCCATACCGGTAAACAAGTTAAGAGGCTGTGACTTGGACGATTATACAGTCTGGTGGGTGGCAAATTGGCTAGAGGGTCGTACCCAGAGAGTGGTGGTGGATGGGTCAGTATTGACCTGGAAGGACGTGGGCAGTGGGGTCCCGCAGGGCTCGGTCCTTGGACCAATACTCTTCAATGTCTTCATCAGTGACTTGGATGAGGGAGTGAAGTGTACTCTATCCAAGTTTGCAGATGATACAAAACTGTGGGGAGAAGTGCACACACCGGAGGGCAGGGAACAAATGCAGGCAGACCTGGACAGGTCGGACAAATGGGCAGAAAACAATAGACTGCGATTTAACAAGAAGAAATGCAAAGTGCTGCACCTAGGGAGGGAAAATGTCCAGCACACGTACTGCCTAGGAAATGACCTGCTCGGCAGCATGGAAGCGGAAAGGGATCTCAGAGTCCTATTGGACTCCAACATGAACATGAGTCGTCAGTGTGACGAAGTCATCAGCAAAGCTAACTGCGCTTTATCATGCATCAGCAGATGCATAACAAACAGAACCAAGGAGGTGATACTTCCCCTCTATCGGCACTGGTCAGACTGCAGTTGGAGTACTGCGTCCAGTTTTGGGCGCCACACTTCAAGAGGGATGTGGATAACCTGGAGAGGGTCCAGAGGAGGGCGACTCATATAGTTAACGGCCTGCAGGCCAAGCCCTACGAGGAGAGACTAGGGCACCTGGACCTCTTCAGCCTGCACAAGAGAAGTTTGAGAGGCAACCTTGTGGCTGCCTATAAATTCATCATGGGGGCGCAGAAGGGAATTGGTGAGGCTCTGCTCACCAAGGCGCCCCTGGGGGTCACAATAAATAATGGCCATAAGCTAGCAGAGAGCAGATTTAGATGGGACATTAGGAAGAACTTCACAGTTGGTGGCCAAAATCTGGAATGGGCTACCAAGGGATGTGGTGCTCTCACTGTCATTACTCTGTAATATTGTTTTACAAATAGTGGTCTGCTGGTTGAAAACTTGACTTGGGAATGGATTGGGGAAAACAGTGGCTCCTCAGAATAATGAGGTGAGGAGCGGGAAGTTTAGAAGGCAGAAAAAGAGCAATACCTCTGCGATATTGCAAGGGAAAAATCTGCATCGGTGCACTGGAAACCAACTAAGTTAAAAAAAGGAAATATGGAAAAACTCCAAAGCCCTATGTATTCAGTTATTCCCTCCCAAAGAAGTACCTCCATGCTTGCAAGTTTGGGTATCATATAGGTATATGGAAAGTCTTCTGGGAAAAAATGTAAACTTTCAGCTCAGAGCCAGACGATGGCTGGCATTAGGATGGGACCAGAGGGGCCGGGTGTGTAAGGAGCTTCACAGCCCCTTTGCAAAGGCAATGAAGAGCCCCTTGGCACCTCTTGGAGTTTAGCCTGGAGTGGGGTCCAGGCACCAAGAGAAAGGGCCTGAGGCATTTCTCTTACGGAAGAGAGGAGAGGACACTGAATCCCTGGAAGTGATTCATTTTGGGCATGCTTCCTCTAGCTACTTCTGAGTTGGAGGTCTAACCTCACCACCCCACTCCATTACTCTCTGCATTAACTAGGGCTGGGCAGGCCCCGAATACAAATCTTTAATTTCCATGTGGGAGCACCACAGTTGGGAGACGCTAGTTAGATAACGCATCCGAGAAGGGCAGAGGACTGTGACAGGAACACCGCCAGCGCTTTAACATGTGTAAATCATATATATGAGGGTCATTACTGTGCGTGCAATGACGCATGGCCTCATCATGACACTCTGCTCCTGCCAAGGCAGAAGGGCAGCACAAAGGCAAAGCAGGGTGCTCCAGTCTCAACCACCACTGCCTGGGGAAGAAATTCGGAGGTGCCCAATACTTCGCTTCCAGGTGCCCTGGTGTACCTCCTTTCCCTAGAGACCCCGAAAGGCTTTACAAGCAATAAGCCATGCTCCATAACCAAGCTCATTTCAGCTGCCAAACGAAGGAGGCACGCAGCAGTTGCTGAACAGAGTCCAGTGCCCCCCACCCCCCGCCACTGGGAAATAAAGAACTAGGCGGGAGACTCGGGGAAGGTGGCAGGCAGCACGGCCTTCATAAACCGTAGCCTAGCCCGGGCACAGCTCTGCGGGGAAAGACGCCTGGGGCTGGCTGGAAGCCCTGCCCAGAGGTGCCATTCTTTAAAACTGTTCCAGAAAATAAGTCAGACTGATGCAGGACGTCATGTTGTAATGAACTAGCGCAGTTTTAAGGAGGCCATTTCTGTCCCTCTGGAATCAGATCCGCACATCTCTTGTAGGCACTGTATTATTACGAGCAAACTGATGCTATAAGTGTGTAAGGGCTGTTCACCAGGGCACCCCAAGGGCAGACGAGGTCTAACGGTCACTAACTGCTGCGAGACCGTTTTAGACTGGACATCAGGAAAAACTTCTTTCCCCTCCGAGTCTCCAGAGTCTGGAAGAGACTCCCCCATTGGCGAGGCGCAGGAACAGACCCCCTGAGACCAGCCGCGCCCCCCTGGAAGTGCCAGCCGCGAGACCAGAGGTGCCAGCAGAAACGCGCGTCCCATGTCGCAGCTGGCTCCGCGGCTGGCCCCCGGGAACCCCGCCATCAGCGCTGGGTGGCTGGGGGACGGACACCCCCCACATCACCAGGCCCATGGACTCCCCCAGCACCTACTCTGGGTACCTTTAAAAACCGCCCGGCTGCTTTTCTTGCCGACGCCCCGTCCCTGGGGCAGGTCGCCTCCAGCCCGACGGCCCGTGAGGCGGACTGCGCCCCGCCTGACAGCGCGCGGCCCC